GGGCTCTGCGAGGAGAGGCCCCAGGGGCTGCCCAGTCGGGTTCATTCTCAGGGCCCCAGGCTCAGCCGTGGGGGGCTCCTACGGAACGGGCGCCTGGGAGTGGGCTCCGTGAAAGGTGCCCGCCGGCCCCCGTTTCCTCTCCTTCTCCACCCCGCAGGCTCCCGGTCCCAGGAGGGGAGGGAACAACGATCCTCATTTACAGGGCAGCCTGTCGGAAAGATTTTAATGCCCCTCCGCGATTTCCTGCCTAATCCCTTTCGCCACCACGCTTTGATTTGGACACCGCAGCAGCTGAACTCTGAACTCAAATCCATTTCCTTTCCTCCGGATATTTCTGAGTTAGGAGTCAGGCCGCCAGCCAGTTGCTTTAGAAAGAAAGGATGCTCGGCTGGCTTCTCCCTGCAAGAAGCGTCCTAACGATGGGCCCATGTTGCTCCGGGAACTCGGAGCTCGGCTGGAGGAGGGTCGGGACCGAAAGCCGTCTGTGCAGAATTAGAGTCGGGGTAGGAAGAAAACCGCCTCACCTGATGTACTGACAGTCAGTGAGGCTAAAGCGCGAACCCTCCCCCTTTAATACACAGATAATTCTGGCGTCTGACATCACTCCCTCCAGTCGCCATGGCGACCCTCCCACAAAACATAGCCGAGCTGGCAATTTCACTCCAAATTAAATCAAAAGAGGGCTAATCCTATATTGTTCTAACAATTTTCTTAGAGCGCCCTTGGTTGTATGTTCTGTTTTTTATTTTTAATAGATTATTGGAATATTATATGTGTTTGTGCGTCCAGGCCACTCGCGGTCATGAGCATGGCCGGGCTGTGACGGCCACAGGACCTTGTATGGGAGCTGGGCACGGCCACCCACACTGCCACTCAGGGTGCTCCGTGCAGTCCAGGGCTGGGGACACCCGTGAAACACACGCGTGTGAGCCATGGAACATTTCATACACTGTCACTCTAAAATTACGGTAACGTAAGTCTTTTAAAGATAAGCCACATTAAGCATCTGCGTGTATTTGGAAACGTACTTCCGTGATTCCGTTTCTATCGTAAATGTGCTCCTGTCGGTTTCAATAGTTACTCAGGAAAAGCTGCTCCTTGTCAGGGCCCACTGAGGAGTCGTGGGAAGACGAGAGCTCCACTTACAAAGGGGCCCTACAGCCACCTCCAGGGACATATTTTTGCAATTATGGGAAACACTAAGTGTCGCCCGGAAAAGCTGTGTCTCCCCGACCGCCCACGGGCGCGCAGTGTGCGTGCGGAGTTGCTTGTCGGTGGGCGCGTCTCCCTGTGGAGTGACCCGGGCAAGGCTTTAGGATCACCTGGGGTCCTGAGGCCGAGCAGAGGTGGCTCCCGACAGGGTGCTCCTCACACCTGGGCGTCCTGCGAGGGGGATGGCAGGAGAGGGACACGGACAGTGACCTGGGGACAGAGACTGAGGCTGAGTCCAGCTCCGCCCTTGGCTCACTCGGCCTCGTCACCCACAACTACCACTGAGCTCAGTGCCAAGCCCGGGGAAGCACACACGTCGCCGTCGGAATATAACCAGCACGAGGCTCGCTCTGGCGATGTCTGCGGAGGGGGAGCGTGCTGAGCGACAGGCAGCCGTGACCCCACGGAGGGAGGCCCACGGGGTCAAGGTCCCATAGAGCTTGCCCAGCGACGGCCCCGGTCTTCCAGTTTGCTCCCAGGTCGTCACTCTCGGTGCCCTGGCGGATCCCTGGGTAGATTTCAGAGCGTTGAAAACACCTCTGAGCCCGAATCCAGACACCAGGAAGCCCGGGGGCGACTGCCCGGCCGCTGTGCCAACATTCTCTCACGGTGCCAGTGCTTTCCAGCCCGACCGGCGCCCTGGACCCCACTGGGCATCTCAGACAGACCCGGCCTGGGCTCATGCAGACCCACCCACACGCGCTCTCCGAGTCCGACCGTCGGGCACTCGGGCAAGTATCAGGGGAAAGTCTGATGCGAGCAAAGCAGAGAGAGGAGGGGATGGCAGAGAACCCAACGGGGGGGAAAGAAAGAAGCAAACCAAGCCGAAGCCTCCTCTGGCTCCCGCGGCCCTCCCTGGGCAGTGAAACGAGCTCTCGCCACCCAGGAGGAAGCCGAGCCGGGCGGGCCGGGCCCGCGTGTCCCTCCACAGCCCGTGGTCAGCCTGGCTGCACCCGCTTCGTGCCGTCTGACCCGGAGACTGATGGGAACCTACGTGCACCTTGCGGCTCCTTCTCACGTAGACTGCGTCTGTGCCCAGCGCTTTCCTGGTCACGGGTTCTCAACTCGCCCAAATTGCCGCACTCTTCCCTCTCCCCCCACCCGACGTCTGGCCAGCAAGGCGATCGTTCGACACCAGTTATCCCAGAATTTCTCCCAACCAAGGCCCTTTCTCCATCAGTCACGTAATTTCTGAGCATCGGGCACCACAGGCTGGCTTCCCGACACCAGGGCCGGGCGACGTTAAAGCTGAGAGGCGGTCGCATCGCTGAGTCTCTTACGGTGGCTGACAGGCCAGCAGGCACTCGGCAGACGCGCGATGAGTTAATTTAAAAGTTCACTTGGTTCTTAAGTGAGTCGCTGAGGGGTCTGTCCAAGGTCACAGGGCTTGTTTGTGGTAGAACCTGGGGGAGCGCGATGATACCATCCCCAAGTTCCTGAGGGTTTAAAGTTGTCTCATAAAACGTGGGTCAACCGGCTCCCTCTAAAGTGTCACTCGAGGTAAACAACATGCGGGATAAAGACGCAGGGGCCACGGTCATTCTCTCTGAGTCGAAGTAACGCTGAACAGAAACACGGCAAAACTGACGCGGGGCGTAACTTATCCATTACCAGGAACCCTCTGCCTGAGTCATGAGTCTCGGGAAATAAAATTCAATTTCAGTAATTGCTTTAAAACAGGTGGGGTAATTTATGACACCTTCAGGTCTGAATCTTTATCCATTAGTCTGCACTGAAATGACACTTCAACATCCAGGAACATTCACGACTCTCATTTCACACCCCTCCTAAGAGTGAGCACGGGGCCCACCCCCCTGCGTCCCGCCAAACGCGAGCGTGCTCATATCCGCGTTAGTTCACAGCCCCTCCGCTGACTTAGATCACAGGCGCCGTTTCTAAATGCTAGGAAATTAAATAAATAGAACGAAAGAAACCGTTCAACCTACAACAAATGACTCCGATCAGACTCACTCAGCTTTTCGACATCTAGTCTCTAAATTCTTCCTTTCCCATCGCAATAGAGACACAGCTAAAGCTGCTCTTGCCACCAAACCATAAACTAAATCGAGCGCCATTCGCTGGACGCATTGCTCCTGACTCCACTCCGTGCCCAGCAGAGCGCCGACGGGCACTGACGGCCAGGGGCCAGCTCTGTGCCGCGTGGGGTTAGCACGTGTGCTTTGCCGTGATCCTCACAGTGGTTCACGACTCGCTGCAGCCTCTCCAGGGAGGGAAGAAGTGTGTGGCCTGTACCCGCAGCACAGTAGGTCAGTCACTGGTAATGTCCGCGGCCTGAAGACGTCTGATCGCTTTGAGTCAGCCCTGGATCAAATCCAAACTTACCTTGCTCAGCCGTCTCCTGAGTGACCTTCTCAGAGTCCAGAGTGAGGGCGCAGTGACTTCCAGTGATGCACCCGGGGCCTCGAGAGCCTCCCGGCCCCAAACACCAGCACAAAACTACCTCTAGAAACTTTGAAACCAGGCGCAACACAGGTGACGCTTTAGTAGCCGACAGAGCCAGGCAAAGAAAGGACGCGCGTGCCAACCAGTGACCTCCAACGAGGGCACAGATGCAGCCCACCATGGGAGACGGGGGCCGCGTTCCTCCGGCACTTACCATATGGATGGCGCTTCCGTCCCGCTGATCTCGAGGAAGTCGTAGCCCTCCTCCAGCTGAAAGTCCGTGAAGACCAAAGCGATGGTGTCCCCGGGCTCGGCGAGGATGGTCCACGTGCAGTCAGCGTTGTTTTCGTACTCGGAAGGGAAGTGGGGGCTGGAGATGCTGCTGCTGGTCCCCCGCAAGGTCCCCCCGCAGGCTCCCTCAGCTGGAAGGGACAGAGGACGAGACATTTTCAGGGCAGTCTCAGAGCAAGGACATCGACAAACGCCACCCATGATCAGCGACAGACATTTCCTAACCGAAACGCGAGACGCGGTCTGCCGGAGGGCGTCTTCAGGTTAGTGGGGTCGGGAAAGGCTGACGGGGTCCAGCGGTAACACCCAGCTACCAACTCAATCACCGTCCCCGGAGGGGGGGGATCCGGGCTGTTCCGAACCCCGCGCTGTGGTGGCCACGCACCTCACAGTCACAGGCAGGATGACGCCGTTTCAAAGATTTTCTCTGCGCCTTGGAAGACGGAGACACGGCGGCAACATTTTAAGACCTAAAGGCCCGTGGCCATCTCTTCCTCACGCTTGATACGTGGCTTGGAAACCACGGTGCTCTTCCGAGAACTAGTCCCCTCACCTTGGTTTCCTACAGCGTTTCGAATGCATATTTGGTTCTGAATGTCAGACGAGTTAATACCACTGGATATAATCCTAACAGAGACACACTGATGCCTAAAACTTCCCAAGTAGGAAACAGTTGCATGAAAACTGAAGTTGGACTCTCTTGGAAAGCGCCAAGTAAAACGTCAATGAAGATGAAATACATTAAGATGTAAATAAGCAGGGTAATAGAAGGTTGGAGGAGGGAAGGAATTATGTCTACAGATGTCTTAAAACATGTTGCTTTACAAGTATGATCTACTCTCCATATACCACTTACTACGGACATGACCGTGGGTGACAGATGAGGACGCTTTGAGTCCCACCATAAAAAGGGCCCAGTAAAAATAAACCGGAGAAGGGTGGACTTCGCTGGCGCGGCTGCTTGGGTCTTGATGACGCCCGAGGACGGAGCTGCCACTTGCCTGCGGCCTGTTGGGCTACGACGAGAGCCGGGGTTCGTCTCCCCAACATCGTGAGGTGGGCTCTGGGGTCCGCAGCGCCACGCGTGCTGGTTGACCTACTGCCGTCTGCAGCAGCAAGACAAGCGGAGTGGTGACAGTCGCCGTGGCAGGTCAGGGCGCAGAGAGAAAGCTCTGCGTCCAAAAGCTCCGAGGGACGCAGACCCAGCGTCTACACGCCGCTCTCCGGATTTTAATCACATCACCGATTTCCAGGGTGTGATGTGAAAATCGGGGATGCCCACCACCCCGAGACACTCACTCAGCTCTCATTTCTCCCCCTCGACCCGGGAAACGAGCATGAGCGAAGGCCCCGGGTTTCCTAGGGGTCCCGACACCTCACTCTTGTCGAGATCTGTGAAAACGGGTGTCAAGGAGGAAGCATGTTCCTTTTCAAAATGACCATTAGCAGATGGCCCCGAGATCGCGGCTCTCACCCTGGACGCCGCTGACGTGTGGGGCCCTGTGATCCCCGCTCGGGGGGCTGTCCTGTCATTGCTGGGAGGTGAGCAGCATCCCGGCCTCTGCCCACTGCCTGCCTTAAATATGCCCCCAATGTGACTGCGAAAAACGCCCCTACTCTGCCGACCTTCTTCAGGGTCCCCAGTGGAGAACCACTCACTTCGATGACTTTACGTAGTGCTTGTCCCAGGTCTTCCTGTGGTCTAGACAGAGCCCTCAACACAGGAGGGACTGGGCCATGCTAAGCGCTGTGTGGTTTCCTTTCTCTGAATCAGGACTAATAATTTATTATTAGGTATTTGGCTTATTTACATGTATTAAAACATAGAATGTACATGGTGTTTTCCCTTAAACATTTGTTTACGTAAAATAACTTAATTAAAATAATTAGAATTACTGCAGTAGTACTGGAAAATGGTTGCATTTTTGACACATTACAGTTTTCCCAGAAAGAAAAAGCCGGGATAAATGAAGTTAATTGGGAAACAACTATTAAATTTTCTAAACTGAAATATTTTTATCTCTTCAGAAAAGCCTAAAAATCAGTATAGATATAATAGATTCATTGTGGTTGTTTTCATTTAACATATGGCTAATCCTGGGATTCGAGTTTGGATGGACAATGAGTGTGATGTGTGTAACCCTTTCACAGGACAAATTATATTTTAAAATTCATAAGTTTGTAGTTTCTGAGACGTGTTTACACCACTCGGGCCTCACTCATAATATGCAAACGAGTAATATGAAAACACAGTCACGCGACGTTATTAAACACTTTATTCCAATTATTCATAAATAAAATATGAAAAACAAATGCGCTACTGAAAAACGAGAGCTCACTAGACAGAACTGGGGAAGTCAGAGCCGCAGACCCTTGGCCGCATCTCAGCACGGTTTACACGCACAGGCACACACGGGCGCACACGCAAGCGCACCGCACACAAGAGCACTCAGAACTAACCGACGCTCTTGCTCTCCTGCTTTCTCTACAGCGTCTTCCACTCAAATCAGCAAAATTGATCCTTTGAAAATTCAACTTCAATCTTAAAATTGCCTGTTCCAAACTCTTCAATTTTCCATGTCAGCCCTCAGACTAACGTCAGAGGTGACCACGCCCTGGACACTGCGCTGTGTGATCTGAGCCCCTGCCCGCCTGCCCCCGGGTCTCCTCTCCTCACTGTGCTGGGCACACGGCCTCCCGGGACCAGAGCCCTGTCATGTGCCTGCCCCAGGGCCTTTGCATTCATCATCCTGCCAATGTCTTGTCTGCTGCGTGTGTGTCCTCCTCAGTCCCACCCCTGGGCCACCTTCTCTGACCACCGTATATAAACTAGCACCCACTTTCCCTCGCTGTCTCCCCACCTGCTTCGCTTTGCCTCTTAGCCGTTCACAACATGCAGTCCCGGACCCTGCGTTTCAGGAGGTGGCCTTTGCCCTGTGCCCGGATCCTAGGAGGCAGCTTGGGACCAGACCACTGTCCTTCTGCTTTTGCTGCTCATTGACTGAATGCCCCCAGCATTTCCTGGGGTTAAATTTCTTGAATGAGCCTCTATTCTGTCATCCTTAGTATCAGAAGCGGGATTTTAACAAAATAAATTACTGGGCTTATTTATCGCATCAAACGATACTATTTCTAAGGGCAGACGTCAGAAAATAAGTTAATTGAGTCATAGAAATATGCGGTATCATTAAATATGAGGTTTTAAAAAAGAATATTCCATCCCAGCCAGGCGTGGCTCAGCGGTTGAGGGTCGACCTGGGATCCAGGCGATCAGGGTTCGATTCCCGGTCGGGGCACATGCCCGGGTTGTGGGCTGCAGCCGATCAATGACTCTCTCATCATTGATGTTTCTGTCTCTCTCTCTCTCCCTCTCCTTTCCTTTCTCTGAAATCAATAGATATATAAAAAAAAAAAAAAAAGAATATTCCATAAACACTGCAGCAGGACTGGAAGCTGAACAATATTTCAGACAAAAGTTAATTGTCAAGAAGGAAGTTGCGTCACTGTAGTGAGTCCACCAGGGGTTAATGGGCTTGTTTCCCTTTGTTTGTTTTCAACCCACAGCTAAGTCGCCACCTGGGACCTTTCTCTTTATACTCAGCAGAGCAGCAGGGACATTTCTGGAAGGGCAAAGTCAGGCAGGCAGAGGGAGCAAAGTAATCAAAGCGAACCGTTAATAAAATGAGATTACGAGCCAGCTTCCTGGTGACTGGAAGAAGCATTTCAAGTTCCACAGCTAAGCATCTGCTGTAAACTCAGAAATCACATAGAAAAAGTAAAATGAATCAAATCAAACAACCAACCATTAAACTAAACCAATTCTGGCCAATATTTAAGTAACATGGTTTTATTAACATAACGCAAGCTCCTTTAATCCTTAGATGTTAATAAGCAATTAAAATGTATCGAAACGTTGACTTTTATATTAATTTTGCTATATCCAGAGGGAGTTTTTATTTGAAATCTGAAAGATCGGGGACTCTAACTAAGTCAATGTTGCTTAGGATTCCGCCCCCCACGTTTTTACACATGAGGCAGAAAGAAAGTGAAGTTGGGTTAAACTACCACGTAAAGGCTCGGCCGCGAGAATCCGCCAACAGCGCCACTTCACTGCGTATTTTCTTTTCTTTCACACGCGCTCGTCCTGCCCTCCGGCAGCCGCTGCTACTTGGCTGTGCCCTGCGCCAGCTCCTACCCGCTGTGCCCTCTCCGCCTCCGCTGGCGCCCGCGCCCCCGAGCTCGCTCTGCGCTCTGCGCTGCGCAGTTCCCCCCCCCCAGAGCTGCCGGCCTGCAAAACACAGATTCTCTTTCAGTTTCTTAAAAATCGTGCCCCTAGGACTTCGCGCGAAGGAGTCGGCGGCTGTCAAGTGCGGGGGTTTGGCCCACACACCGAATTTCCCTCCGAGCAAATTTTTCTCTTTCTGTAACCCTCACCCGAGGATATTTTTTCCGCTGATTTTTCTAGAGAGTGAAGGGGGGGGAGAAACATCGAGGTGAGAGAGACGCATCGATTGGCTGCCTCCCGCAGGCGCCCTGACGGGGGCCAGGGATCGAACCTGCAACCAAGGCACACGCCCTTGACTGGGAATCGAACCCGGGACCCTTCTGTCCGCGGGTCAGCACTCTAACCACTGGACCACACTGCCCAGGGCAGAGCGATTATGTTTTTAACTCAGTTTCCTATATCGAGTTTTCACAAAATCCTGCATTT